TCCCCATTTACCCCTACTCCTACTCTCTGGCAACCACAAATCTACTTTCTATCGGTATAGGTTTGCGTATTCATATAAAGTGAATCATACAATATGTGGCCTTTTGTGTCCAGCTTCTTTTACTTAGCACAATGTTGCTTTCAAATTACATATGAGTCTCTCAGTTCTACACACCTACTTTTTAAATGTCTTGAAAATCACAATGGCTTTATACTCTTACTGGCAAATATTTTAAGATATAATATATAGTTAAGACAAAGTTCACCATTAAAAATAATAAACAGAAATCCATATTTCCAATGGTTGCCATAATAATTTGTTTTTTGACAGACTTCCCATGTTGAGGTATCAGCTCTATCATGTTTTTATGGTTTGCTTGTTTATATTATTATCTTCAATAAGAAATTTGTGAGGGCTGGTTTAGTTAATTTAAATACTATGGCCTATAAATCTATTTAGCCAGTCATTATGAAAAATTATATCACTTAGCCAAAAAAGTGACTGAACTTACATCTTTTTTTTTTTTTTTTTTTTTTGAGATGTTGTCTTCCCCTGTCACCCAGTCTGGAGTGCAATGACACGATCTTATTTCACTGCAACCCCTGCCTCCCAGGTTCAAATGATTCTCCTGCCTCAGCCTCCTGAGTAGCTGGGATTACAAGTGTGCCACCATGCCCAGCTAATTTTTTGTATCGTTAGTAGAGACGGGGTTTCACCATGTTGGCCAGGCTGGTCTCAAACTCCTGACTTTGTGATCCACCTGCTTCAGTCTCCCAAAGTGCTTGGATTACAGGCGTGAGCCACTGCGTCAAGCCATTTTATTTTTTTTGAGATGGAGTCTCGCTATGTCGCCTAGGCTGGAGTGCAGTGGCATGATCTCAGCTCACTGCAACCTCCACCTCCCTCGTTCAAGCAATTCCCCTGCCTCAGCTTCCCGAGTAGCTGGGATTACAGGCGCATGCCACCACACCCAGCTAATTATTTTGTATTTTTTTTAGTAGAGACAGGGTTTCACCATGCAGATCAGCTGTCTTGAACTCTTAACCTCAGGCAATCTCCCACCTCAACCTCCGAAAGTGTTGGGATTACAGGCATGAGTCACCATGCCCGGCTGTCATCTTTTTATATATACAAAATAATGCATTTAAACAAAGGAAAAAATACAAATATATATAGATTTTCTCCCCACAGCTCATGGATGGTTTTGCACACCACCTGAAGTATGCACTCACTGGTTTAGAAACCACTGCTCTAAAGAACACACTAATTCACATCGTTCCTCCCTCAACAGACTCTTGAATCAGGATGCCTAAATTCAAATACTGGCCCTTCTACTTACTATCTTGTTACCTTGTGCACACCATCTAACATCTATCACTTAATTTCCTAATCTAAAAACAGGGATAATAGTATCTTTTAGGATTTCTGTGAGGACAAAATGAGCTATAATACATAAGACTGCTTAGAACAGTACATGACAAATAATAAGGGCTCAAAAAATAAGTCATTATTTTTCTCATAAAAGAGGTTTCTGGCCACAGGCAACTTACACCTAGTAAGAATGCATATATAAATGAGCCACCTTGCTCACCAGGGTTTCTTAATCTTTTCATTAATAAGCTTCTGAATTAATAAAGAAGGTATATGGCTCCTTCCTCCTCTGGTCATACATTCTCTTTGGCCATCACTACTTTATCAGGCCTCCTTGGCTCTTTCTCTTAAAATTTCCAATTAATACTTAGATAATATCATGTTTCTTATAAATACATATATAAATACGCTTATAAAGCCATTTTCATTTTCAAGATATTTAAGAAATAAGTGCGTAGAACAGGAAGACAGGCCCTTATAATTTGAAAGCAACATGCTAAGTGAAGAAGTCAGACACAATTTAGATTAAGTGATCATAATATGCGGCAATTTCATCTTCAGGGAATTAGCTCTTCTGCTTAAGAAAATTTTTATCAAGTACTGCATTTCTTTGCCTCATCTTCAGGGGCTAGGGTTATAGCATAGCACAGCAAAACACAGCACAATTTATGGATAACAACCAGGGGCCAAGCACTGGCATCATGTATCAATTACTTCCCAAGTTGATACGAAGCTCTTCGAAAGGAAGAATTTTGTCCCATTTACTCTGAATGACTCTGTACCCTTTCTGTACCTAATGTACTATTGGACAGTAAAGGCAATAAACATTCATTGAACAGACTTATTACATTTGCTTCAAATTCTTTGCAGACCAAATTTTTTGTCACATCTCAACCTTACAGAACTTGGAAGTTTTAACATCTTGGAACAGCCTTATGCTGGAAAAAGTCCCAATTTGTTATTAGATGAAAACTTGGGCCCTTATGTTATCATTCAGCCCATTTCTGTTCAGAAGACAGTATTTATCACATTTTGTAATTAAACATTTATTTGCATGATTATTCAATTAATGTATATTTCACTCAACTAACTCATGACAACGGAGATAATGCTGCTTTTTTCTTTCCATTGTATCCCTAAAACCTAGCATAGAGCCTGGCAATTGATTTGTTCAATCAATATTTGTTGAATGAATAATCTATTCAGGCATGTATCCTTGTTAAAGCTTTCCATCTATATGACCATGTCAAATCTTCCTTTAGAATAAAGGAACTAAGTCTGTCCTTGACCAGCAGCAGTATAAGTTCAAACTCACTGATGCTTCATACTTCTCAAAAACTAAGAAAAATGTAGTATTAATTCATCTACCCATTTGTTTATTCAATACATATCTGAACTCCTTATACCATGTGTCAAGTACTGTTCTAGATGCTTGTCTTGCCCTTACGTTGCTTGCATTCTATAGGCGTAAAGTAGGAGGAAGGATATGGTAATACTAAATAATTAATAAATACTACGGAAAAAAAACTAAAAAGGTTAAGGGGGCCAGAGAATGCTGGGATGCAAGGCATTATTGAAGTTTGCTATTTCATAGAAAGTAGATAAGAAAGGGCTCTTTGCTAAGGTTGACACTTGATTAGACAGAGGAACAGCAAGTGTGAAGTCCCTGTCTGGTAGGATGGTAAATCTATTCAATCTCTACCAGTGTTTATTAACTGGGGGTGATATTGCCCTCAAGAAACATTTTGAAATAGGAAGAGGTAGGTATTTTGGGTTACCACATTAATATTAAATAAGATATGTGAGGGGTAGGATGGACATACTAACCTACAATGCCCAGGAGAAGTTCAAATGAAGAATTTAAAGAATTGATTTACCCAAAATACTTGCTGGGAAATTTTTGCTGGGAATTACAGCATTTTTGGTTTTGCTTTTAAATTGCCCTCATTACATTATCAAATATCAATGAATAAAAGAATGTATAAATGATTTGTGATGAATATGTAACAAACAGGATGGTATGTGGTGTAAATTTAGCTTATCTTAATTGAACTACGTATATACTTTCAAGCTCGTCATTTTCTCCAATATGCTGATTCATCAAATTTCATATGTGATACGGTCTAGGTCTCAGTTTAAGAATTCAGGTGACACTTATTCTACAACTGACTCTTCTGCCTTGTACTATATACAAACAACCTTGGATGGGAATTGGCATACATTAGCCATTAAATCAATCAGAGAAACATTTTTCCATTCTAATGTGGTGATATTCCCCATTTCCCACTTTCTCTGACTGACAGTTATCTCAGGTTTTAAAACCAGCTCAAAAGATAGCTTCTCCATGAGGCTTTTCCTAACTTTCCCAATTGTTCACTACTCAGTATTACCATAGTAACATGCTTTTCTCTGCAAGCACGCTTATCAGACATATAAGGCTTTTGTTTACCTGCCTGTCTCACAAACTAAACTATAAGCTCTTCCGGGAAAACTACCTTACCTATGCATCTTTGTATCTCCGGCGTCTAGTACAGTGCCCAGTGCCTAGCAGGCGTTCAATTAATGATTGTAGAAGAAATCGAGAATTAATGACCTCCAAGTTAAGCAAAGAATACATCAAATTCAAAAATGTACTTTTAAAAACCTAAGGCCCTAGATATCGGCTGCGTGAGTTGGTTTAAGGCAGAAAATAGGACCGGAACGCTGCTGGATAGGGAAAACTCCACTTGACTTTTTCAAGTACATGCTGAGAAGTACCAGCTTCAGTGTTTCGATGCAACATTGTCCACAGGAAGAAGTAACGACAACACTTCTCGTGGTCTCTTCCTACCACAAGATCCCTGAACCCATCCCCCACCCCAAATCCGGGAAACCTCACTTTGGGGATCCCAGGGCCCCAAGTTCCCTAGATGAAGCTCTCACCTTCCCATTCGTGGGAGGCTCCTGGATGTAGATGTTGCTCATCCTTATCAGTACTCAGGACTCTGCTCCTTATGGGAGATGAGAGTGGACGGCCGGTCACGAAAGCTGTCCGCCTACGAGCACACTCTTCCTTAAGTCGAGTGGCCCAGGAAAGCTTCAGTTTGTCAATATCACGCAAGACAGTGACACCAAACACTACCTTTCCCAAAACAGCCCCTCTCGGACGCCGCCATGTTGTTACCGGACTCGAGCTCCGCTAACCCTGAGAAGGGTGATTCCAATGTACTCCTGGGTACAAAAAAAATCTGTAAAGCTACTATAGCTTAATGTAATTTGTATTACAATATTAGAAGGGGCACTTCGTAAGTCTTGGCGATGTTCAGTTCACTCATCTCGTGTGCAGATCACACTCACCACCCCCCAAAACTAGCAGTAATGGTCCGGACCATGTGTCTTCTGCAATCTGACTCGTCCGGAAACCGCATCTGCGTCTACTGGTTCTGTTGTCGCTAGAGGCTTACACGGCCTTCCAACAGCAGCGAAGGTGCTGCAGCTCTGGGGAAGGCAAACGCCGCTTTGGCTGTGCCTTGTCCTGGAAGCTGGCGGGAAGCAAACGCCTTTTCAAAAGCCGGAGGCTCCAGTGACCCCTGTCACCACCGTCATGGCGGTCCCAGGTAAGGAGCAATTACAGGGCCACTGTGTCCGAGCTCGGAAGGGAGCGCAAGGGAGGATAGGGTAGGGGGCGGGATGTAGGGAGCAGCGCCCATGGGGATTTAGGTGGAGGCCTTAAAATTCACAGGTTTGTTTTGTTTACATGAAAAAGTTTACAGTTCAAAGAAAAACTCTGAAGGAAAGAAAGTAACTATCTCCCTCCCCCGGCAACCGCATGGGATTACAGGGAAAGTGTATCGTGGAAGGGAGGGAGAAGGGAGAGACTGTAATTGTAGGCCTAAGGGGGCAGGCGGCCAAGAAAAACTACCTTAATTGTGGCATGGCTTTAAAATAAAATTTGAAGTGGAAACACTTGGACTACCCAGGTAACCGGAGGCATCGTTTGTCTTAGAAGCCGCTAGGACCACCCGGGCGTCCGGGTTCTACTCCTAGCCCTTCCTGTTGTAGGTCGCTGCTCTGTGGCCACAGATTGGTCTCTTTGTGCTTCTGGACCTCAGTTTCCTTATAAAAACAAGGAGCTTTGTTGAATTATGTATAAGATTTCTTCTGAGTCTCAAATTCTGCGTCCAGAAGTTGCTGCCCTAAAAATGGTGAACTCGCAGAATAATTAAAAGATTTTCTCATCCTTAACTACCAGCTTACTTGGAAGTTCTAGTAAAGGAGAGCATCTCCTTAAACCGGCTTTGCGAACACTGGTTGCAGGAGATATGTTCAGAAATATACACTCCTCCACCCTATCCCCTCTAACTTGGAAATTCACAGTGCACTTTAGTAATAGAAAAGATTCTGAGAATTACCGTGGCTCAGAGCCCTAACTGTTTAAACCTACCCTTTCCAGTATTATTTGACCAGATTCTTTGTTCTGTGGCAGCCTTTTTGAACCTCATTCTACAGATACCTGTTATGGGAACACTGTGCTTTTGCACCAACTGCAATTTGGGGAGGAGTACATCTGGAGCTGTGAGAGAGGAAGTGTAACTCTAAAAAGTGCCTGTTGTGTGCCAGGCACTGGTACTAGGCATTGAAAATACAATGGTGAGCAAGGTAGACATGGTTACACTTCACACAGAACTTAGAATTTAGCAGTGAAGAGAGAGAAATTTACAGAAAATAGAACAAGTGCCATGGCAAGGAAAATACAAGAACTTAGGAAGCACATAGTAAGGGCACCAAACACACACAGGATGGGCAGGAGGACTTTCCAGAGGATGTAGCTCTTAGGAGGAGATCTAAATTGTAGGAGGGGTGGTTTGGAGGGAGAGGAGTCTGCAGTTGGAGGAACTGGATACTAAAGGAAGAGGAAATATGTGAGAAGAGGAAATGAAAGATACTTTCTAGAGATGAAACACAAATACAAATGAGAGATAAGTGAGAAATTAAGTAGAGAGACAGTAACTGTAGCTAATATTTACTAATATTTATGTGTCAAATATGTCAGAATGAAAGATGTTTTCTGTGGTTGGAACTGCAATACAAATGGGAGATCAGTGAGAAATTAAGTAGAGAGATAGTAACTGTAGCTAATATTTACTAATATGTGTCAAATGTGTTAGATACTGTATCAAACGTTGTATATTCTCTCATTTAACATTCACAACTACGCTGTGAAATGAGTATTAATAGTCTCATTTTACAGATGAGGATACTGAGGGACAAAGAAATCAAGTAATTTGCCTATTATGAGACAGCTGGTAAGCAAGAAGTCAGTCTGGCTCCTCTAGACTGTGCACTTCATTCATTTTGCCATAATATAGGATAACTTACAAGGTAGTTTCCAGCTCTTGAAGAACCTTGTAGGCCATGACAAGAGGTTTGGCATTGTCCTAAGAGTGGTAGGAAGCCATCTTAGGGTTTTTAAGCAGATTTACATTTTGGAAAGATAATTCTGGCTATACAGTAGATTGGAGGCAAAGTTTACCAGTTAGGAGTAATCCTCGTGATTTATGATGATAACTAAATAGGTAAGAAGAGAAGTAGTAAGTTGAAGATACATTTTTGGTGGTAGAATCACTAGGAATTGGTGATTGATTCAATGTGGGTAGGTAAAAGAGGAAATGAGGTTTACCTGGGTTTCACTATGAAGCAATGGGGTGCGGCTATTTACTAATATAGCAACACCTCACAAGGAGCAGGGGTTCAAGGGATGATGATGACATCCAATTTGGGGCTTGTTGTGTTGAGGTTAATCAGACATAGGAATGGAAATAGTAGTAAAATATATAATTTATAGCTTTGGAATGAAGTCAAAGACAATGATTTGGGTGTTATCCACACACATAATAGGAGGTAAGGCTATGGGAGTGGAGCAGTCTGCTTAGGTGGTATGCAGAATGTGAAGGGAAAGTCTGTGGCTGAAGCCTGGTGACTATCAATATCTAAGAGGCCAGAAGGGAAAGATAAACCTACGCAGTAGATTGCCTAAGCATCCTGATAGGCCAAATCAGCTCTGGTGATCTTTGTACCACACAGCTGCACCCAAAGTTGACCTGTTATCACTGCTCATTTCATGACTTGAGCAAGCCTTTTGGGCACCTCTGTAATATGGGCACTTTGGAGGACACAATGTTATAGTCTGTACCTTCATAAAACTTTAGGCAGTACATGAAAATGTACTGTGTAAGAAAGGGAACAAAAGTGATTTTTTTAAGCCCTTATTAAAATACCTTAAACTTAGACCAGTGTTATAGATAGGTTAACCTTCTTTCAATTCAAAATAATGCTTCAAAGTATAATAATGTAAAATTGAGCCATTAAGTTGGATGGCAAGATATAGATAAACTGTTTAAACGCAGCAAAAATTGAGATAATAGGTGTGACAGCGCTGTAAAAGTACAATGCAAGTGTCATTAGAAAATACAGATATGGAAGATCTTAAGATAATTTCTTGGATGATCAATTCAGGCAGAGTATTAAAGGAAAATAGGGCGAATCTAAACGTTTCAAGGTGATTATCAAGGAGGACAAGTATTATGTTGTGCTCTTTTATTTTAGGTTTCATAGATTCAGTTTGGCATTTCTTGGGGTGGTCCTGCTAGTGATTATGACAAGGTATTATTATCAAGTAACAAGGCTGCTTTCCATAAACCACACATAAAAATCAGCCTTGTCTGTTTTATGATCATGTGCTTCACCTGTGTTTCCATAGCATTGTGTGTTAGCTTATTCCATTATGTAGGTGATACAATGAAATGTAGGCATTTAGGAAAATCTTACTCTTAGTTATTGTTATAGAAATACCATTTGATCACATGTTTCAGTGAAATTTACTTTCCTTGAAAAACTGCTTTTCCCATTCACAGTTGTTGAAATTACCTCCAATATTCATGTCAGTAATTCACCACTCTTCATGAAGGGTTGAACTGGCACAAGTGGCAATGTATATTACTGATGTAGCTGGCACAAAACTTTTCTTGTTATCTCCTCTACTGAAGGCCTATAGCCAAGGTAGGGGATTTTTCTATGGCCAAGTTAACATTTCAGTCTGGCACATCACAGTGAATAAGTTTTTTTTTTTTTTTTAATTTCTCTTTTCTTTTTTTTTTCCCAGGTCAGTGTACAAAAGACTAATTTGATGAATAAGAGTTTAAAAACACATTATGATTGTATCTTAGTAATAGAAGAATTCTAATTTACGTCCAGTTTCTCTTTATTCCTAGACTATAGGTAATTTCTTTTCTCTCTAGTCTATATTGCACATTGCTGCTAAAATAATTTTTCTAAATCATATATCTGATCCTGTTATCGCTGGGAGGGAGGAACTTAGTTCTTGACCCCTGTTTGTGAATTTTGTAATTGTTTTCAAGCCACTTAACCTTACTGAGGTTCAAAACTGTCCTCCATAATAGAGTTGAAGGCTAAGGTTTCTTAAGCTTCTAAAGTGTTAAAATGCCAAAGCTCCCCATATTTCTCTGCAAGAATGAAGTGCACACTCCCAAGCATGACCAATTCATTCTTTCTACTCTTTCCTTCCACCACTCCCCTCATACATTCTACAATCCTGCAAAAATGACTTGTCCAATTATTCTGTGAACTTCTCAAGTACTTTCCTACCTATGAGCCTTTGTTATTACCTCCTATATTGCCCGTATCTACTAATGGAAGCTTTCCTGATCTCTTGGCTGAAACTCTTGCCTGCCACTTCTTCATGCTTATTAAATACAGCTCTGTGTCTTCTATGAAACCTGGCCCATTCTGTCATGGATTACAGCTGTGGGTGCACTAGTATAGTGTCACTTTCTACCGGCTGCATGTGGCCCAGGACGACTGTGAATTCAGCCCAACACAAATTTGTAAACTTTCTTAAAACGTTAAGAGATTTATTTTGTGTGATTTTTTTTTTAAAGCTCATCAGCTATTGTTAGTGCATTCCAGTGTATTTTATAGTTTATACCCTCATAAAACTTTAAGCAATACATAAAAATACTACTTAAGAAGGAAGACAAAAGTGATTTTTAATCCCTTATTAAAATTCTCTTAAACTTACACCAATGTTATAGATATGTTGACCTTCTTTCAATTCAAAATAATGCTTCAAAGTATAATAATGTAAAATTGAGCCATTAAGTTGGATGGCAAGATATAGACAAACTGTTTAAACCCAGCAAAAAATTGAGATAATAGGTGGAATAGTGCTGTAAAAGTACAATGCAAGTGTGGCCCAAAACAATCTTCTTCCAGTGTGGCCCAGGGATGCCAGAGACTGGATATCCTGGTGTAAGGGTTTGATTCATCCCTATGACTTCTCTAACATCGAGTTCAAAGTTATACCCATGATAGATAAATAATGAATATTTAGAGGGTTGATTACTATAACTGCTGCTGAGCAGAATATAGTACTAAACAGGTTAAACTAATACAGTGTTCCTTCTGTTTCATTAGGTCATTAAATTTCTCTGTCTCTTCTTATGGCTTTTTTTTCCACAGATTATTTGTACTTTATAAGGCATGTAGACTAAAGAGTTTTATACATTTCAGGTCAGTAGGTTAAACAGCTCTTTGATTGGTTTACTTTTTCTGCTTTTGGGGTCAAATGATTATGAAGGCATTTTTAAAATTTTACTTGTTTAGAGACAGAGTCTCTCTGCACCCAGGCTGGAGTGCAGGGCACAGTCTCAGCTCACTGCAACCTCCACCTCCTGCATTCAAGTGATCCTCATGCCTCAGCATCCCTAGCAGCTGGGATTACAGGTGTACGCCACCACGCCTGGCTAAATTTTGGAATTTTAGTAGAGACGGGGTTTCACCGTGTTGCCCAGGTTGGTCTTGAACTCCTGGCCTCAAGTGACCCGTCCACCGCAGCCTCCCAAAGTGCTGGGATTATAGGATCACACCTGGCCTATGAAGACATTTTTAATGGACTATTAAGACATCTGCTGTTTCAGAATACTTGAATTGAAAAGCTCATTTAGCCCATTTTAAAAATTATGTTATTAATGAAGTATTAGTGTTTTAGTAAAAGATTTCTAATTTCCACTGATTTTTCTACTTTGCCTTTGGTACAGCGTTTGGGGTCCCAAAGAAGGGTATATATCTATGACTTTTTAATATAAATTGGTAGAAAAATTAAATACTTGGAATTTTACTTCACATCAACTTAAGCAGAGCATGTATATTATATAAATAGATATTACCACTTATATGACTGCAGTTTGAATTTTAAAAGCAGAAGAAATTGAGATTGTCTCTAAAGGTCTGCAGATTATAACTAAAACCATAATGAAGTAACCAAATATGAAACTTTTTACTAAACAGAAAATGAATCTAATCTAATTGAATCTAATCCAATTAAAAATGAAAAGAATGGATCTTATGACAGAGGTAATTGCAATTTCTAATTACTTAGTACTAAAAAAACTTAGTTACTTAAGCTGTATATGTTTAAGATTAAGTGATTGTAGAAAATATTTTAATATAATGAAAATGTCAGGCTTCCCTAAATTCCCAAATAGGCAATAAGAAAAATGTAATATTAAGTTCCCAGTGACTAAGTTGTTGACTTTGGAAAGATAGGTGATGCAAAATTTCAAGGAAGTAAATTTAGATGAGATATGACATTCCTTTGGACGCCACTGGCCAACCTGAAGCAACTGCTGAGGACTCTCCATCTTTCTTTCAGTTTTTCTCAGTCCTTTTATTTTTGTCCCTTCTTTTCGGTTTTCTCATTTTTTTCCACTTCTTCTTTGCCTACTGTTAACTTGAAAATTTTTTTTCCTTTGTGCTAACTACTTTACTAGGACATAATTTACATGTTTTAAAAACAGCACAGATCACAAATGTTCAGCTTGAATAATTTTGACAAATAAGAGCGTGTGTGTATATGCATGTGTGTGCACACGCAAATACACACACACACAAATACACACACATGCATCTACCTATCATCCAGATTAAGATTCTGAATATTTTCATCACCGCAGAAAGTTTTCTTTTGCTGCTGTTGTTTCCTTCCTCCCATGCCCAGCAGCCATTATTTTTATTTCTATTACTGTTCTCTTTTATTCCTTTATTTCTAATACCTATTTTTCCTTGGATGGGCAAGTGACCCAGCAGGCACTGTCAAGTTTCTTAGCTGGCAACTGGGATCTAGAGAAGTTACCAGTTCCCAACTTCTGAAGTACAGTCATGCACCACAAAATGATGTCTTGGTCAATAACTGACTGCATATACAGTGGTGGTCCCATAAGATTATAATACTTTTTACTGTACCTTTTCAATATTTAGGTTCGTTTAGATATACAAGTACTCACCGTTGTGTTACAGTTGCCTGCAGCATTCAGTGACATACTGTACAAGTTTGTAGCTTAGGAGCAGTAGGCCATACCATACAGCCTAGGTGTACAAGTGGGCTAATCACCCAGGTTTATGCACACTACGATGTGGCCAAAAGGACAAAATTGCCTGACAACACATTTCCCAGAATGTATCCGTCATTAAATGAAACATGGCTGTCTTTTCCTAAGCTTATAACCTCAAATCAATAAATATTTGTTGAGCACCTCTTAGGAAGTGTACATCATCATAAGCAGTGAGTTATATTCAAAATTAATGTGGCTACTTTAAGTTACTGGAAGATAAAGAACCAGCCCATTTACCTCTGTCCGCCCACCACCACCCAAGTTGTTTAACAGAATACTAGATTCAGAATAAGCCTTTAATATTTAACAAGTGTAAGAATGAAGACCTCTAAAATTTGTTCCTAACATCATGAGTTAATGAAATTATATTCAAAGTCTGAAGTGTAGTCTCTCTGAAGATTTTACAAATGGAATCATTGCCTTTTGTCAGTTAATATTTACTTGACAATTACTTTTCTTAGTGTTAAAGCTTTGTTTGAGGGAGATTTTCCAGATTGGTTTTGAAAGGGTAATTTAATCACCTTTCACATTTTAAAGGTACCAAAAGGCATATAGTGACATGTCTCTTACTCAACACTTTCTCTGTCCAGACTTACTTTTCTTTCTTCAAGTAACCAACTTATATCCTTACAGAGATATGTCTAATATCTTTCTTTCCTCTTTAATTCTTAACCACGAAAAGGTGGCTCTCCGGTCAGGACAGATTTATTTTAGGGAAAAAAAAAAAAAAAAAAAGGACATTTATTTTAGAAAAAAAAAGAAAAAAAAACCTGAGAGGGGCTTTCTGGCCAAGTTAGGTCAGAGGCACACTCTCTTACAGACTAAGAGTTGTGGGGTTTTTTTGTTTTCTGTTTTCTGTTTTTGGTTTTTTTTTTTTTTTTTTGAGACAGAGTCTTGCTTTGTTGCCTGGCTCCAGGCTGGAGTGCAGTGGGGTGATCTCGGCTCACTGCAACCTCTGCCTTCTGGGTTCAAGCAGTTCTTCTGCCTCAGCCTCCCGAGTAGCTGGCATTACAGGTGCGCGCCACCACACCCAGCTATATTTTGTATTTTAATAGAGATGGGGTTTCACTATGTTGGCCAGGATGGTCTCGAGCCCTTGACCTCATGATCCGCCTGCCTTGGCCTCCCAAAGTGCCTCGGCCCCAGACTAAGAGTTTTTAAGGATTCAGGGTAGGAGAGTTTTTCAGAGGCTTGGACTGCTTCTGTGTCTCTTTGTTGTAATTATCTGGGAGGGAGAATTGTGTGTCTGTTCCCATTCATCTCTCTGCAGCTGCAGGCATATCCCCTGAGTCTGCTTTTAGCTTCCCTTTCTTAGTGCACCTGAAGGGAAAGGAATGTGTTTATTAAGGTCCACTGTTTTACTGGGGCCCATTGTATAAGGGTGAAGTCTGGCAGTTACTCAAGAGACTTTTCCCCCAACCTCTCTCTATGCCCGAACTGTCTTATCTGTGTTTTACTGTCTGTTCTTTCTGGCTGCTTGTAGTGAGAAGAGAAGTAATTTCCTTGAAATAGTTGAGGCTAGAACGGGAGCTGGAATTTAAAGTGGTGGTGTTTGTCTGAGATGATGGTGCCCCTGCTCTGTCATCATCT